TCCACAATAGCAACGCAAACGCAATCTTAATTTTTTTTTTAAATCCATCCGCCATTTTGAATTTTTAAGAGCTGAGTTCAAACCCGCAATCAGTAACAACATAAATCCTTGGATACGAAGTTTAAATCACAATGCAATATTCCATTGCGCGTTCATTATAGGGGTTGTTAAGTGCTTTCCCCCATAGGAACAGCACTTTGTTTTGTCTGTACTTTCCGAAAATGCTTGATTTTTCATGGGTGCAAAGAGGTTTAATTTAGTCGGCAGGTGTAACATGCAAACATAAGTGTCCAAAATCAAAAAGTCGTTCCAAAGATTTTCCGAAGTCTTTGATATAGGAGGATACACAATTCGGAATTGCTCGTTACTAGTCTCTCATAAGAGCATAGGATTCCCTAGAACATCTCTCCGCATTCATATTAATGTATTTTTAAGTTTTTTATTTTGTTTTAGTTTAAGATTTTCGAGGAGTTACAAGGAAATTGTGTCTTCATATCTCGAGCAATAGATCGACAAAATCGAAAGGGAAAATGTGTCTGCCTTTCATACGATAAATAAAATTATTAAAAAAGGATGAGTCCAGCGCCTTCGTCTTGACCTGTGGTCTGTGCCGGAGCAAGAGATGGGCGCGGGGTATCGGAACCCGCGGGGCCCACGGTACTGATTTCAGACTGGCTGGGATGGGCGGTGTCAGTAAGGTCTGTAAAAATTCTTACGATTCAGTTTTATTTCGTTTCATACTACAGAAATTTGTATTACTGTTGACATTAGCTTAGGTCCCCGTATCATTATTCGCGTTCGTGCTCATTTTCGCATTGTCTTCGCTTTTTGACTTGTGTATAAGTTACATAAACTCGACTTTTAAAATAGGTGGCAACCCTTCTAAATGTCGTTTAGAAATAAGTAAATCTCTTGCGTCTGACATTGTAATACTTATTTCAATTACCTGATGGATTAAGTTAAATTTGATATTTTAAATACGTGGCAACCCTCCTAAGGGTAGTTCAGTAATAAAACTTTCAAAATCCATTTCAATTGCTACGCATCTTTTAATAAATCATTTGACTAATTAAGCNATTTCATATGACTTGAGTTTACTTTAATGATATTAAGCTTTTCTAACTGGTGCGAACCCCGTTCAAACCAAAATCTTGTTAAATTTTTTATTTTTTAAACACATATTATGAACAAATTTAAATGATCTTATTCCCTTAATTCAAGTTAAATTTATAATACCCTTGTGGTACAAGTGCGCTGGTTTACTAAATACTAGGAACCAAATTTTCGCACGGAACTTTAACCTTCCTGCTTTGCTTTCTCAAGTTGGAAAGGTGGAAGTTGCCAAACCGGCATCCTTTTTACTAGCCTCAAATTAAACTGTTTTAAAAACTTTCATTGATAGATAGATATAGACCTATGTAGAAGAAAACGTAGACCAATTGATGAAAAATCCATTCTCGAATTTTTTTGATTGATTCACGGATAGAATCGGAACTATATTTTCCAATTCCAAATCATTTCTGGAGAAAAGTTAATAATTGCTGCTCAAAATTAAAACTAGTACAATATTTTCGTCGCCAACTTACTCGTAAAACCATCGCATTCGTCTCGCAATGGGCAAGTATTTATGTATGTATGTACCTACCTCCCTGTTGAACGACAAATTTCCCAAGTCATCAATTTAAACTTTTGACTTATCGAGTGTATCTAGTCAGTCAATTGGAGGACAAACTTTAAGCTACAAGGGCAGATCACATCGCAAAAGTGCCGTTTGATTACCGAATGGATGTGCCTGTGTGTGTTTTAGTACATTCATTTGTGCAATGCGCGCATGCGCTGAATGCATAATTAGAAATATTGCACGTAAAGCATATGCGCATACATACATACACATATGTATGTATGTAAAAACCGTTGTTATTGTTAGTCGTGTTGCCATTGGCAAATTACCTATGGCTTGTGCTGCTTTATGACAATTTTTACTATCGCAAGTTTATCGCCGATTGTCCTTTTTAGCTTGTGTGGCTTTCATGTATGTACATTAGGGCATATCACGAATAAAAGTTTAGTGTGTGCCAGCATTATTTTAGTACTGACGCCGAGAGAAATTGGGTGTAATTTAGTTTTAGGCACCCGCTAAAAGCAAGTGAATCGCGTTTTTGCTGTAACTTTCTTATTTGATGGCCGAAAAGGTCTCGCTCAGGACTATAATTGGCCCTTGAGATGTTTTCGGGTTTAAAACCCGTTCTAATATATACCTTAACTAAATTTGGAAATACTATCTCTAGATTTTTATTTTTATATCATAAATCAAAATCTTTCAAAAAATGAGGGTTTACTAAAAATATTCTAGGTTTTTATTCACAAATAAAAAAATTATGCTCAAGTAAGAATGTTATCTACAACAAAGAACGCGATTTAGCCATTTTTATCGGGTGCTACAAAATTTTTTTGGCTTCAAAAATTGTATGTGTATATAAGTTTTGAAATAAATCTGACCACTGAACTATTTTTCTTTCATATATAGTGATACGGCTTAATGTACATATATATTTCTGTGTCAACACGCCCTCATAGCGCTGAATGTTCAACGCACGTGCTGGCATTTGCATTTGCCAAAAATTAGCGAAAAAAAAATTATGCGCACCATACCCACCACTGAATGGAATTTAACGAAAGTTAGAAGAGTGTTTTAGTAGGTATACATATGTACATACATAATTATATCTGTTAAAACGGAGAATATTTAGAAACATTTCACTATGAAAACAAGTAATGTAAAAAAAAATAAAATTTTACATGCTTTCATTCAATTTTTAATAAAAATAAATAAAAGTTTAACCCCGCACCACCTAACGGCTTCGTCTTTTCCAAAAAAAAACGCAAGATAGAAGGAAACGACAATAGTTCAAGCAGTTGTATAAAATAAGAAAACGCTTCACTCATGAAAATTTACTTAACGTTCTAAGACTGCACGAATTTTATTTGAATAGACCAAGACAATTTTATTTTTTCTGCTAGAGCTATTATGGCAAAAAAATATGGTGTATTATTCGTGAAACGATTGTTGCAATTGAGAGACTTGCCATCATACCGGAGGCGCTTGGCTTCTAACTTGAATTTCTAAGACCTAAAATTCATGAGCGCCATTAGTCATCAGACTCTGGAACGGATTTTAGAGCAAATCTTTGTAAAATTTTATTAAAATTGGCCCAGACGGTCCAGCACACTCGCCAACCATTGAAGCCTTTCAAACTGTTTTATCAATCAGCATTAATATTTGGCTTAAGCATAAATGGGGCCCCTAGGCGGTCAAGATTCAACCGAACGACCTCAGTGTTTGATCATAATGATTAATCGTATAGGTATGGCCTCCTTAAGATGTTATTTGCTACACATTTCTATTTCATGAATACCTGCTTGGAATGGAATGGAATTGTGCGTGGCCGGAAAAACTCAAAACAATTTTCCAAGTACTCAGGCAGAATTGCCCATTGCACTTAAAGCCTAGAAAGAGGATTTAGATATATTGGCAGGGTGGGAATTCATTGCTTCTCTGTAAACTTACCATACACTTTTATAAATCTTAGCAGTTTGTGTTCTCAATACATCCGGCAGAGAAAATGATATGCACTATTATCATCTTACACAATGGATCGTCAATGATGCCTATGGTGACCAAATGTCGACCTCATGGATTGGACCCCGCAGTCAGACCTATCAGGGTTCATAGACCACTCCTTCTCATTCTAAGAAGGAATTTTGCTACCACCTTGTCAGATCTTTTGAATCGCTAACCTACGGCTCTCGTGAAATCCCTGACGTACCCGATTGTTGCCGATATGCTTGGCCCTAAAATTGCCGTGGTCTAATTGGATGCGCAAGTAAACCACAGTTCGTCAATTCTTTGGCCAGTTAGTTGCCTTGAACACCACATCATTCTATCTTTCCCCAATTTACATTCCCGTACTATTTTTGAAAAGATGCGAGTGGTCCTCGGGGCCTCTAGAGTAGCATGGCTGTCACTGCAGATGCCGATTTTATGTCCGCATCACTTTTCGCCAATTATCCAGGCTGCTACTTTCAGTAATTCAAGGCTTTCGATTGAAAATGGTCTTTCACTGCACCCAAAGAGGAAAAGCTCCTGAATTTAAGTGCAGATGTGATCCAGCTCCAGTACCATTTTCAGTCTTTAAGCCGTCGATATTGAGAATTTTCACCGATCCTCCCAGGAGTTTGTCTGGATCTCTCCATTGCTCCCTTGTAGGAAAGCCAACGATGTACTTTCTTGCAAATGACAATGGAGATATAAGTTTTTCATAAAATGTAAAAATCAAAGCTTCTAAACAACTCTCCGAGCCTGGAACTCCGATCGTCGTTCCGCAGGCCAAAGAAGTGCAGCCAACACATTGCTTTCATTGGCTTTCTCTTGGATCGCTGGAAAATGACGAGGTATCTGGCGATTGGTATCTTTTTTGGTTATTGTAACTTAAGGGATTTTCAAAAATCATTTTAAGCACCTTGTAAAAAAATGAAAAAAATTAACTTGTAATTTCGTTCAAAGTATTTATTACACGTATAAGGTATACGCTGCAGAGTAAAACTGTTGCAAATTACAGTAAAGGCAACAACAAAGTGACATTGATTGCTCTTTGCATAAACACGAATAAATAAACGCATGCACTTTTTACGCAGTTAAGCCAATTCCACTCCGCTTGTCTGTCCACCCAGACGTCTATTGAGCCATTCAGACAGACCAGCCAGGTAGACTATTTGCGTAAGACACTTTCATGTCACGGCAATGTCACAATGACGCCTATAACGCTTATTATTG